GAGGTGACTTATTTTAAATGGTTATTTTTAATTTTTTTTATGTAATGAACATTTGAAAACAAACATTAAGTTGAGTGTCTAATTGAAGCAATTTATCATATGTTTTGGTTCTTAATCGAAATATATGATTGAAACGATATTAAAGTGGGACATAAAAATTTAATATCATAAGAAAAATATGACTTTCTTGAAAATATAAGAACAAATATGATCCTAAAATTGAATGAGGTGAAAAATAGGACAATGAAGGAAATATGTTGTTGGAGATAAGGAGGTGTTGGATATATCCGCACTTTCTCCACCCTTTTTTATATTTTTTATATTTATATAACCTTTCAAAATTTGTCACTAAATTTTTCTCAAATATCCAACTTACGATATGATAAAAAGTTTATATTAGACATTTTAAATTCAAATTTTAAATTATTTTTATGTATGTTTGAGTGTCTATTATATATACAAATAAGTTATACATATAAATATGTCATATCTATCAATTAATTAATTATATACACATCAGTCTCAATTGAAACATATATGATGTTTTGTGCTAATTATTATGGCTAATACATATAGTTAAAGAAGCTGACATATTTCAAGTGGTTAATTTATCTACGTAATCTGCATTAATTGAAAACAAATATTAATTCGAGTATCTAATTGAAATAATTTATTATATGTTTTGGTTCTTAATCGAAAGTACATACGATTGAGATGACATTAAAGTGGGACATATAAATTTAAAATCGTAAGAATACAAATTACTTATTTGAGAATAGAAGAACAAATATGATCCTAAAATTGAATGAAAAGAACAAATATAACTTATCTGAAATATTACATTTTTTGGTTCTCATAATTAAATTTTGATACACAATTTCATTGTTAGTTCTTGCTACTTACATTATTGAGGTTATATATGCTTCTTTGAAGATTCCCATTGCCTTTATATAGCTGCCAATCTTGAATTTGTTAGTATTACTTTATGATCTTGAATTTGACCTCTTGTCCTTGCAAGAAATCCGTGCAACAACCCCCTTTGTTAATTAAATTAATTGAACCCATCTAACACGTTTTCTCCTTCAAAGACAAATTATTTTCATTGCCTATTGATCTAAGTTAGAGAAGAAAAAAGATTTTCATTGATGATTAGCAATAAATTATTTCCTGTTGTTTTCTTTGATTTGATTATCATATTATGTATTGTTGTTATGTTGTACTGTTCTTCATTATGTTCAACATGACTCCTTCACTACTGTATTTTCCTTATTTTATTTTATTTTATTTGAACCGAGGTTTGATTAAAAGAGTTTGAAATCTAAATGATAGGCTAAAAACCAAGAATTGACCAAAATAACATGTAGAAATAAAGTTTCTATTTTCTACATATAGCGCTCTAAAAATTAGTGTGTTATTTTTTAGTTGTCATGATTTTCTTTTTTAGAGTTAAATAATAAGACTTTTGATTAATATTTTATGATGTATTTTTTCATCATATTGATATGCAAAAAGTTTACAATCTATAGTACTTTTTGTATAATTTTTGAATATCTAAATTTTTAGTTTAAAATATCGAATTAATGTACTATAATTTAACTTTAAAAATTAGTCAAATTAACTTTCGACAAGCGCAACATGACAACTAAAAATGAACGAAGAGAATATATTTTCTTTATAAGTGGAAATAAGGAAAGTGATGATAAACTAGATTGGTTGATCACTTAATTAGTTAAACCAACTTTACCTAGGGCAAAGCTATAGTGTTCCCAGGTGGTCAGACGAACACCCTGTATCGAAAAATTATATCAAATATATATATATATATATATATATATATATATATATATATATATATATATATAAACTTATTTTTATATGAATATCTAAAGGCTTGACACCATTGTGTATGTAGGAGTGTACAAAATCGAATAGAAAATCGAATCAAATAACAAATCGAGTTAAATCGAAAAAAGAGTAATGATTTGGTTTGACGGGTTTGGTATTGGAAAAAAAATCCGACTATACTTGGGTTAGTTTGGTTTTAACTAAAAAAAAATTCAACTCAAGACCGAACCAACCCGACATTATATATATAATTTTTAAAATTTATTCTATGCATACAAATATTTACTTTGATATAATTTCTAAATATTTCTTATACTTTTTCATAATTTTTTTCTTTTAACATATTATTTCAAGATTTTGAGACTTAGCTAGCATTTCGCCTCAAGTTCTTAAATATTCTTTGCAAATCATATTTGGATGAAGTTTTTGGCCCCAATTTTTTCCAAAAATATTTGACTATTTCAAAAAATATGATTTATACCCATAAGTTCTAAAAAATATTTAAAACACCTATAAATTTATATTATCATCCTATAATGAATATGTTCCGTTAAAAATAACCTTATAATATAATTGATTACAATCAAGAATAACAAAATAACAATATAAGCAAGACAATACATTAATCGCATACTCAAATTTGTCGTTGATTCAATTATAATTATAACTCATTAAGCACAAATTGTTCCTTTTTCTCAATTTTATCACTCAAATTAAAATTCAAACTTTTTCGAAGGAGATAGTAACAAATATTAGTTGGAATTAATAAATAATGAGTATTTTTTATAAAATATAAAAGTTTGAGGTAATTATTGAATTTTTAAATTTTTCAAATATTAGAACTTGGCCTAAATACTAATTTTCTCTAGTATTTGAGAACTTGAGATCCTTAGAGTTTTTAATGGTCCATAAAATTTATAGCCCAAAAATATTAGTAACTCTTAATATTATTCCAATATTATTTTAATTATGAAACACCCGCACTGATTTTTTTTAGTAAATTTTTTATCGACTTTCTCTTGGGTCAAATTGAGACCAATTTTGAAACACCCTACTGATTTGACTCGACACCTTATTTTTTTGATGGACTTTTTTGTTGTAACAAAAAGATAAGGAAAAAAAAGTTCATTTAATTCCTTAATAATGATTTAGCAAATTGTTATGTCCTATGAGTTTAGTGGCCATGCCTTTCTTTTTTCTAAAATAAAAAATATCTGCACCAAATTCTTTTTAGGAAAAATTACAAGAAAGCTCACCTTTTAGTTTACTTATTACCATTATCCACTATAAGTTTTATAAATCTCCAAAATGCCTCATTTTCACGCATCAGATTAGTGTATCTCGCGCATCAGATTAATGTATTAGCGCTTATATTATTGTATCTCGTGCATCAAATTAGTGTATCATGTATAAAATGTAATGTATCTTACTTAGCGATTAATGTATCTCGCGCATCAGATAATGTATCAGCGCTTATATTATTGTATCCGTTTGAGGGATTTCTGTAATTATAAACTTTAAAGGGATAGATTGTAATTTTACCTTAAAAATATGTGATTTCTGTAATTTTCTTTTTAATTACCTAAGAATGATGTTATCGAAAGTGTTTATTGGTTCGATTTTAGAGTAAAAATTAATTTAGTCAATTTTTAATTATTAAAATTAAACCAAATCAAATATACTTTATATTCATCGATTTGGTTGTTGTTGGTTTAGTTTGAGTTTTTCAGTTTTTAAGAAATATAATAATATTTTTCTCCTAAATAAGAAAATAATTTTTTAACTTATATTATCATTATTAACCTTTTATTGTTGTTGCAATATTTTTCTTAGATTATGCAGAAAAAAAAATCTTAACATCAATAAGCTTTAATCAAGTTGATAAGAAATACAAAAATTATATATAGGTAAACTCATAATTATATCTTTGAATAAATGAGTTTGAATGTATTTTTTTAAAAATAAGTGAGCTTAATAGATGGTAAGTTCATAAGTCTATTAGAGAAAACAACTTTTTCATGAAAAAATAAATATAAATTAGTTAAAATTATTTGCAACAATATATTGTATAATAGATTTTTCATGAAAATCATACAAAATAGTTAAGATTATTTATATAAAAAAATATTGTATAATAGAATTTCCATGAAAAAAGTATATAAAGTTTTAAAATTATATATATAAAAATATGTTGTGTATATCATTTATCAGTTCATTTTTTTTATTCGTCTTGTTTTTAATAAAATCGAACCAAGTATTATTAATTTTTAAAAATATAAATCAAAACTAAATAATAACCGACTTATATTATTTATTCAGTTTGGTTGATTTTTTATTTCATTTGATTTTAATTAAATCGTGAATACCCCTAATTGTTACTGTGGGCCCCTGGTCAATTATTTCATCTGTTTCACTTTATTTAACACAATCTTCTTATTAATCCGTTTATAAAAAATGACATACATTGTTATGAAAAAACTTTTATAATCATGTAAATATCAAAATATAATTATTGCCACACAAAAATTATGATATATTTAAATATATAAATCTACTTTTATAGGATAGCCTTGCTACTCCAATACTTTCAACCTTATTTCCTCAGTTTTAATATCTCAAAAAAAGCTTACATTGAGTCAAATTATGTCAAAGTAAATTCAAGTACATCGAGTGGTAATGCTAATTATTGTATTGGTTAAACAAGTAGCAAAAAAGGTATAATATATAAAAATGTCATTTAATTTGCTTTTATTGACACCTATATAATTAACTTTGGTTATATATAAATAGATACTTAAACTTTTATATGATCAAACAAAAAAATATCTACGTGACGTTCTATGTGACAATTACGTCATACATAGTGTCCTACATATAATCTGCCATATAGAACATGTGTGAAGCTAGAGCCTCACGTCACGAAACGAATATTTTATTTTCAAATCAACTTCGAAGAACGATCGAGACTCATCTTCCTAAAAAGAAGAGTCTTCGTTTGAAAAAAAATTAATTTTTTAATTCCTTAGGTAATCAAACCAAGGTTTCAAGCCGGTCAAATCAATAGTTTCAAAAGAAGAAAATAAAGGTCGAATTCAATAACAACTAAGTCCAAGTTAAATAATATGTTTATATATTGTGCCCGAGAAAAGCTAAATATAATAGGAGAGAGAGAAAGAGAGGGGGGGTTTATGAGAGTTGTTGTAAGAGAGAGTCCTGCAATGTGGGCAAAATAGGGTGGCGCACAAAGGAAGAACCAAACAAGACTACACATCCATACTTTCCTTTACTCGTTTCTCGCTCCATCCATAATCACGTCTATCAAGGAATTTTCCCTTTTCTCTTTAAACTTCCCCTGTTTAAACAACAGAGAGAGAAGTGTGTGTTTGTGTCTAGGGAAATCACCTTTGATTATTTTCTTATCTCATCCATTCAATTCTGTAGAAACAAGCCGGACCCATGTGAGCAAATTATCCTTTTCACGCCTTTCAATTTCGTATTTTTGTTTTTCTTTCTTTGTCGTTTTTTTTTTCTTCTTCTTTCTTCCCTATTAATTTTGCTTATGTGGGTTTTCATGTTTCCGTGAAAATAACTTATGGGTGTTTGTTGGTTTCTTTTGGTTTGGTAGCTTGAGGGTTCTATTTGGATATAGCTATAGTGGAGTACTATAAGTAAAAAAAAAAAAAAAAAGGTTCTTTTCTTGAAATTATACTTTGTGAAATTTATATTGTGTGTGGTTGGGATCCTTGCTGGATCTATTTGTGTTTTTTTTGGTTATTGTAATGTTGAAAGTACAGATGAAATTGCTGTTTACTTGGTTGTTGTGTTTGTGATTCTCTTTTGTTTTACTAAATTGTAGTAATTTTTTTTTTTTCAAAATTTCTTAGGCTTTTCGAGGAGAGAATAATTCAGTACATTGTAAAAGGTGATTTGTTGTGGTGGGGTTTCATGGGGTGAACTCAAAGGTATAATGGGTAGCATTAGTGATGATGAAGAATGTGTATTTTTTGATGCCTCTGAGAATATTGGCCAAGTACCTGATTTGGGTTCTAATGAACCCCAGGTGCTCAAGTCCAGCTCCAGGATTGGTAATTTTGTCACTAGTAGCTACCAGTATGATGTGTGGAGTAGAAGTCCCAGCAGTGTTAGAGAGCGTCGTAGGGAATTCTTTAGTTGGATGGGAGAAGATCCAGTAGATGTATATGGAAGTTCTGATTCTAGTTGTGAAATTGAAAGGATTATGGAGAGTAGTGAGGCTGTGGTGCGAACCTCAATTCTTGAAGACGAATTTCCTTCTCGCCAAGTTCCTCTACCTGGTTTGTCTGTTGGTGTTTTGGGTTCATATAAAGAGTTGGATTCAAATGAGACATTTGTGTGTCGGAGTGGCAATCCAGGTGGTGGAAGAGAGTGCAATGTACATGACCAGGCTGAGAATAATCACAGAACTACGAAATTGGAACGACAGCAACTTGGATTTGAGGTCAATGGAGATGCTGGGAGGAAACTGAATGTGGTCAAGAGGCGTTTAATAAGTAGATTGCGATCACTGACGTGCATTGTAAATGACAAAGGGAGAAGTAACAATTCAAAGGTTGACAGCTCCAGTGCTGTCCAAAGGTCTAGGGTTCAGAGGGCTAAGGTTCACCATAGAAAGAAGCGATTAAATGAACTCTCTGCACTTTTTGTGGGGCAAGATATCCAGGCTCATGAAGGTTCAATATTAACTATGAAATTCAGCCTTGATGGGCAATACCTAGCCAGTGCTGGTGAAGATAAGATTGTGCGTGTATGGCAAGTGGTGGAAGACGAGAGATCTGATGAAGTAGATATTCCAGACTTAGATCCATCTTGCATGTACTTCACAGTGAACCATCTTTCACAACTTGCTCCTTTGGTGACAGAGAAAGAGAGAATCAATAAATTGAGGGGTCTAAAGAAAACAACAGGGTCTTCCTGTGTCATTTTCCCGCCTAAGGTCTTTCGAATTTTGGAAGAACCGCTGCATGTGTTCCGAGGACATAGTGGTGATATATTGGATGTTTCGTGGTCAGAGAACAATGTATGTTTATTGCTGCTCTATGCTTGATTAAAGCTTTCTGAACAATTCTGGATCTAATCAAGTTTTCTTTTATGATTTATTATTCTTGCAGTATTTGCTTTCATCATCAACGGACAAAACTGTTCGTCTGTGGCAAGTTGGATATGATAAATGCCTCAAAGTTTTTTCGCACAGTAATTATGGTATGCACCAAACATTTTGTTAGATCATTCTATATTTTTCTGATTCAGGCTTTTTTTTTGCTGATTAGCCTAAGTTTCTGTCAGTTTAGTTCCAAACTGCATTACTCACTATTTTCTTTGTTTTTGTTTTTCAGTGACTTGCATACAATTCAACCCAGTAAGTGATGATTACTTCATCAGTGGTTCAATAGACGGAAAAGTTCGCATTTGGGCGATTAACAGCGGTCAAGTTGTGACTTGGACGGATATAAAAGACATTGTGACTGCTATTTCCTATCGTCCTGATGGGAAGGTCGTTAGTTTGTCTCTTTTTTCCTTTTTACAAACTTACCTCATAGATCCAGGATTTCATAGATCCAGAAATCCAAGCAGTTTATTAAATAAGTTATCTACTTCTCATGCAGGGTGGGATTATTGGTTCTATAGCAGGCGCATGTTGCTTCTTTAGTTTAATAGGTAATGTTGCCTCTTTTCCTTATATATACCAAAATAGCATTGATCACCTGCAGTTAGGATTTATATTTTTATTTAAGAGCTTTTAGCCCTTTTGTTACTTTGTGTCAGTTGATTAACCATCAAGCTGATTTTAGGTAGATAACCATGCACAATGTCATGAACTTAACGTACTTTTTTTTTTCTTTTGTTATGGGTGCGTCTGGTTGGAGAGTTTGCCATTTTCATTTCTGTCTTTTGATTTTCCAGAGTTGTTCTAGCCCATGCTCTGTTTCCTTCCTTTCTCCAAGCTTTATCAGAGTAGTATTTCCGTTACCTGATAGTAGTTATAGTTTGTATGAGCATCATATGTTAGTCACATGCCAATTTCTGATGCACATTATATAAATTCTTATGATATAGCAAATGAAAGAATGCGGATATAGTTTACACTTACTTAGAATTTGTGGTCCATATTTTTGCAGTTTATGAAAGGATAGTGTGTGATACAGATTTCATATCAAATTAGAAATGTGTTTTGACATTTTTGGACCATCACAGATCATGAGATTCAACTGGAGGAGCAGATTTGTTTGGTCAGTAAGAAGAAGTCACTTTGCAAAAGAATTACTGGCTTTCAGGTTAGTAGACATCACCCAGATACTAATTACTGCTTTATTAGTTCTAGATAGCAATGTAATAAGATGCTGATAAATCATGTTACTCCAATGCAGTTTCTACCACAAGACCCAAGTAAAGTGATTGTTACTTGTGCGGACTCCCTAGTAAGAATCCTTAGTGGGATCAATGTGATTGGCAAATACAGAGGTATGCTCCCTTCTCGAGTTTTAGATGATGACCTATTTTCCCTACTAGTTGATAATGCAGCTGTCTACAAATATGGGACCTGCAGTCAACTTAATTTTTTTTACGTGTAGTTAATTGGATATCTGGTGGAGTTTTTTCTCTTCTTTTTTAACTTTCTGCTACTTTATTCTCTAGGCCTAAGAAATGCAGGAAGCCATCTCTCTGCTGCTTTCTCCTCAGATGGGAAGCATATCATCTCTGCATCTGAAGATTCTAATGTCCATCTGTGGAACTGTCACATTCCAGAAGAGACTTCTGTGTCTCAACCTGAAGCGGTGAGATCATTTGAGTTCTTCTATAGTGATGCATCCATTGCAATACCTTGGTCTGGACTGAAAAATGTCAACCACGAGAATCAGTGTCACTCACAAGTGCTGAGTCAAAGCTTAAACAATTTTCCTTTGGGGGCTTCTCCTTTTTTCTCTTTAGGACAAGGGTTGTTTTTAGAGGCAATTCCGAAGGGATCTGCCACCTGGCCTGAAGAGAAGCTTCCACTGTCAAGTCCTCGGTCTGTGCCTTCTGCAATGTGTAAATCTCAATACAAGTTTCTCAAAAGTTCTTGCCAGAGTTCATCCAGTTCTCATGCCTGGGGTTTAGTTATTGTTACTGCAGGCTATGATGGGCGAATAAGGTCATATCATAATTATGGACTGCCTTCACCACTTTGAGAAGTATAATTTCAGGATTTTCAAGGAAGTGAAAGTTATCTCCTCTTTTGACACCTGCTTTCTGGATTGCAGAAACCCTTTGTCATGGAACTACTCGACAGAGTTCAGTGCTGCAACGAGAGCTCCATATGAGAAAGGATGTTTGACCGGCCCCTTTAGGTACTTACAAGTCATGTCAGAGTTTGCTTGAATATACCTGATCTTGCCACTAGTTGGCACCTAATTTTAGTTTATTAGCGCCATTCATCCACCAACTCTGGAAGGAAATGAATATTTTATGAGAGGTCAACATAACATGCTTATCCATATGAGTTGCCTGCGGGGCCTTTCATTATTCTACTTCCTTGTTATCTAAATGAGATCAGGGAAGGAGCTAGTGGCTATAATTTTCTCTAGGCGAAATGGTGGGGAACATCATCTTTTATGACATGCTGGCTGTTCTGAATGATTGAATTGTTGTCTGCCATACAGTCAGTCCATTGAAGATAGGAGTAACCACAGGTTGATTGTGAGGAAGGTGGGGGCCGCTTCCTGCTGAATTGGAGTGTCGTAGCAGCTGTACGTGCACGAGATCTTAGTGTTGATGTCAGTTACTAATATGGTAAGAATGCTTCGGGGCTGGTGCTCTGCTCTGCCTCTGGTTGGAACAGCGCCTTTTCTGGTAAAAGAGGGAGGTTCATTACAGAGATGGTGCTGGTAACATGGGTTTTTTGGGGGGCACGGTTCTAAACTCGGTGGATAATGTGTCCAATCCTCTACCCTTCTCCACTTGAATACTTAACTTTTGTGACATGTGCTTAATCCAACACGTCACATGTTATGCTCTTACCACTAGATCAAAGTTTGGGGGCAAGGCTGCTGGTAACATAGTTACACTAACATAGATGGCATTTTCAATTTTACAGCTCCAAAATTGTATTTAGTAGCATCACAATGTTGGTTCAACACACGCGTGAAACAACAAATGTGATTTCATTGATTAGTTCTTCTGTATAAAAATCAGTAGTTATTAGTGTATGTATATGTATAGAACTGACTGCTCTTCCTTCAAAATTGTTAATAGCAGCTGACCCCCTTGCTTTGAGATTCAACGATTTTGCTTCAAGTATCATTATTGTAGTCTTTGAATTAAGAGAAATTGGTTAATTCCTTGATGAATTTTGGTGACTATGAGCCAATTTGCATGCATGTTTGAGCTAATACACACTATAAATCTTATATATAGAGGGCGTTCAGCTAGCTAATAAATTGGTTGTGGTTAACCAATTTATAGTCATGTTTTAGCTTTATTTATGTGTTTGTTAAACAATAAAGTACTTATAATCAAGTGTTCATAAGTCAAAATCAGCCAAAAGTCATTAGATAATCATCTTCAACTTGTAATTTTTCAGAACTTTTCGTTTGACCAAGTATTTTATTGTTTTATCTTTAATAGTTTTTTCCAAACCAAAACTCCCAACTTCCTCTTCACTCTGTATGTGCCGTTTCTGTCTTATTTATAAGATTCCTTCTAAATTTATTATAACTTTTGTAAGAATTTAAGAATTTTTAGTTATTATAATATAAGAATAGATCAACATTTTTAAATCAAACTTACAGAAGTAACTAATTTCCAAATTTCATTTTTACTTTGAAATAGAAAAACTATTTTTTTTCCAAATACTCACATTTTTCATCGCCAAAACACCCCCTTGCAGTCGCAGAAGTTTTTCAAATAACCCTATGAACATAGAAGTTGTAGCGCCCGAAAACTTGACAAGATCGTGTTGCCAATGCTTCTGAGGGCCAATTTTGCACTGTTAACTTCAGAAACATAAAGTACAACAGCCTCTCACTGGCATTTGCTATTTTCCTAGAGCAAGCAAGACACTTGGTAAAGAATGTCAAGGTAAAGGAACAATAAAAGGCGTCTTTCGTGCTTAAATGTTTGACCTTGTAACAAAAATGCCAACGGACAAACACCTCATACAACAGGGAGAATCAGTCTATAAGGGAAAAAAAAAATATTACAGTTGATACCAGAATTACATTTCCATTTCCTCTGTTTGGAGCCAGGGGATTAATATGACGAAGTTGGTGATGCCAGTTCTGGGGAAAAAAACGGAAAGAAAGGTTGCATCATAAGCTGTCCAGTAGAGATCGGGCTGCAAAATATTGACAATGACCAAATGCAAAGAAGCAAACATCATCAGATCAGGAAATTAACTTTTTCTTTTTTGGTGTCACAATATAATATGGGCCAAATCAAGACAACTTCTAGACATGGAAAGCACTACTTGTTTTTTGAATGTTAGAAACATGGAAAACACCACTTAAGTTGCCGTCTTGCACCTGATATAGTTTATCAGGCATATGTCCCTATGTCAAATATGTTAAGTCTGATTCTCGATCAAGAAAATTTAGTCTTTTACAGATAATAACCAAATGGCTTTTCGAACAAGCTCTTCCTAGAACCTATGAACATTCAAACAGTAGTTAAGTAATGATTTGGACAAGATATCTGGATGTCAGCAACCGTACATCCCAGGTTTTCCCTAACATGTACATAGAAATCTGCGAGTCACTTATAATAAGAAAAGATTTGTTAATCTTCTTCAAGTTTGGTATTTAGACATTCCAACCATAAGGATTCCACACATCAAAGCACTCAACATATAGCCAACCGTCTAAAAGATTCTTGACTTTGAGACTAGGGGCTTCTAAATTTTCGCTTAACAGACATAAATCTAACGCACCAACTATAGAAGTTTCAGATTAATCCCTTCACAAGATCCCGTGGCAACCTTCCTAGTCCAACTCAATTCTTTCACTACTGAGAATCTGAGATCATAAATTCAGGGTAATGTTAGCCGGGAGCCATGCAAGTTCTCTGATAAACAAAATAATAAGGATGTAGTTCATCTGCAATACATTTCCCAATGATCTTATACTTAAACTAAGAAGTCAGATAGATACATCTATGTAGTTTAACTCTTTTACGATTCATTGTGCAAGCTCCATGTGTTGCAATGTCATAATCGACGTTCGATGATCTTGGGAATGGAGTTCATAAACAAAACATTTGGAAGTAAATAATAAATATTTCATCTTTTTCTACACCAAAGAAAGCATTGGGCGATTAGGCACTAAAAACGATACAAGCCTGCCCTGTCAATTCTCTAACAGCAAGCCCAAGTTAGTTTTCCAAGAAATCATCGTTCCATTTGTTAATAAATCCTATGTCCAACAAATAACCATGAAGTGCAAGACAACCAGTGGCAATGCATGTGGCAACATTGTACCAATACCAAGAGTAGCAGCTATTAACTTGATTCGACCTCTACAGTTCTCCATTAGTAGGATAAAACTACGAAAAACAACATGAGATAGCTCCTTTATAGATCCACTTAGCACCAAAAGTCTGCTAACCTTTTAACTCCATTCTCTTCATTTGTTCCTTAAACCTTTTTCCTGCAAGAGTACGAAAGAAAACCTCCATTCACGATAGGTTTTCAGTTGACGAAGTAAATAACCTTTTCCCTCTCTTTCCTACCTAGAACCCTTAACAATGCATCCATCTGGCAGAAGAGGACCAAGAAGATAATTCTATTAGCATCTCTAACTTTGAAATCATTTTTGTGTAAAAGCCATCAATTTCCAGCTCAAACGATAAACAGTAGAGTTGTACTTTCGATAACCTGTAGATCATCGCTTAGAGGCATTGAAACAGCCTTCTACAGAAATGTACGCGAATATGCATCCACTCTCTTCCTTCCCTTGTCTAGTACAAACTAGAGAGAACTCCTTAAACGAAGTAATACCTTTTCGTAGTCCAACTATGATGAATCATTTGAACACCATAGTTGAATAGACATAGAGGATTTATATATACGACCCCAACCAATCGTAGAACTCAGTTGAATGTTTAATTGTTTAAAACAAAAACAGCAAAAAAAATAATATTCTAAATTCAATATTCAGAAACATAAAATCAATAACATCTGTGCAAATGTATTCATACAAACACACACATAATCACCTACCAAGCAACATATATTGAATTAACTCCATAAAGGCAAGAGATCCAAATTAATAAGATATATTCCGGATCACCTATCAAGCAACATACATTGAGCTAACAACAAAAAAAAAACAATCAATACATTGACAATATATTCATCATTACTCCTTTTTTTTTCCGGCAAAAGGCAACCAACTGATCTACTATATGTAAAATCAGAAAAGAAGAAGATGTATAATATGAAATTACCAGAAGATTTAAACAGGGAGGTTGTCAACGGAATGAGAATTGTTGGTCCTAGGGCAAGGATCAACATGAGAAGGCAAATTGTTCATAAAAAGAGGGCGATCTTTAGCTTCTTCCTCTTCCTCATCATCAGAGGCATAGGTTGTGAGATTGACACAAGCACATCGTTCCAACGAGGCGAAGAATGCCGATGCGACACTCGTGCCGAACCACCTCGCCAGGCCGTCAATCTTTTCGCAGGACATTCTCTTTGATTTATTTATTTTTGGTTTTCGTTCGTGTCTCTCCTAGCTCGATCTCCAGTCGAGCGAGAGGAGAGAGAAGAGGGTCTTTCTTTGTCCGGTTAGAGGGAAAAGGAACAAATGGAGGAGAGATAGGCGAGGAGTGAGGAGAATGGTCAATAATCCATTACCTCACCTGATATACATTTTTCCTCATTATTCTAATACCCTCCAACTTTGCGTTCAATGTTGGGTTGGGAGTTGGGACCTTCACTAGAAATTAACTTTATTGCATTCTAAAAACTTTAACTTTATATGCCCGGTCTAGGTATTCATGTATTATTATTAATCTTTTATTTTGCTTAAATTAATACAAACTGCCTCATAACTTATAAACTTAATTAATTATATAATTTTTTAAATTGTAAAAATCAAATACTTTTATGCCTGAATAACTTACCGCCTAACTAGCTACCAAAAGTGGTATCACATAATTTAATACTTGTATTACTCATTTCCATACTAACTACCAAGTGACTACGGTACATATCGACCGGTTCAGTTCAATTTTGAAGTTTATCGATTCAACTTATCCGTTATCGATTTGTAGATATGCTAAACCGTTATATAACTATTAAAATATTGACTTATCGGCTATCAGGTCAGTTATCGGTTATGGATCGTTATCGATTCGGTTATCGGTTTAATCAGGTGGAGCTATAGCCACCTTCGTTGGAAAATTACGTTGTATATATATGCCAAATTCTACATTTAAAGGATATATATTTAAAGTTGGACACCCCTAACAAAAGTTATGTCTATGATATAGTGGTAACGTGTGTCCATTTGAATGAAGAAATTCTGGGTTTGAACCCCAAATAGCATTATATTTTTTTATTTTACTTTGACAGTCACACACCATTATCTTGGACACCCTTGATAAATTTCTGGCTCCGCCACTAGGTTTACTATTACGATTTGACACGATTATTTTTTATTTAAAATCACTTAAAAACAAAGTGACAAACCAAATGAACAATGCAAATGAGTTGACAAATTGCATATAGCTTAAAAGTTACACTAATACATTGTAGAATAATTGAGAGTTTGAGACATCTAGAAATAAAAATATGAAACTAAGCGTTAAATCAAGAACTTTATATACCGAATGGTATAAATATATTTTATTAATTTACTATTGAGTTATCAGTTAACTTGTTAAGAAAACACCTCAAACAGTTAAGAGCCGATAACCTGATAATAAAAAAAATCAAAAACATTATTAAAACCGCTAAACCAATAATATATTTTTGATTTAGATTATTGATTTCAGTTCGGTTTTGAACTAACACTACAAGTAACTCCTAACGTTTGATGAACTTGCCTGTGTTATAAAAACTACACAATAGAGCAGACATGAAGGCGCATCTGGTGTAGTGGTATCATAGTACCCTCCCACGGTACTGACCGGGGTTCGATTCCCCGGATGCGCATTATTATCTTTTATTTTTCACTAATGCCTATTTAGATGTTAGATGTTATTACATCTAAGCCTCATTGGTTATGTTAGTTCCAGAATATATATAAGCACCCACAATTTCTGCTACGTCCAGCCAGGTAAAGCAAGTATTAAAATGCCAGAACAGAGAACTCATTCCTAAGTTGTCATAACTAATTATTTATTTGGCTCTTTCTTAAAGGTTTAGCTTGGGATAAAGTTACATCAACTAACATCATACTTAGATTCAATCTAACTTTAAAACTCACATTTGAAAGAATACAAAAGGTTCCAATCTGTATTGATGAATGTTTACTATCATACATGTCTTCCAAATGGAACTAGATTGAACTGTAAATTAATCAATGTCTTCCTCCTAATCTAAATCTATTTTTGATTGTCACCGTCAACAGGAAATATATATATATATATATACCAATCATGTGTATCCTATCACTAGAAAAAGTAAACTAAAAACTAGCAATCATTTACAACTCATCATGGTCATCATCGTCACCAGCACCTGATTCTCCTCCCGGTGCTCCACCAGACCTCTGATATACTGCAGTGATTATTGGGTTGCACACAGTTTCCACTTCTTTAAGTTTTTCATCGTAATCCTCATTCTCAACACTCTGCAAGTGCTTCTTTTGTCGCAGTTTCAATCTTTTCTTTCTCATCAGACTCTAGCTTGTCTGCAAGCTTATCCTGGTCATTTATTTGGTTTCTCATGTTATATACATATGTCTCCAGGCTGTTTCTAGAGTCAATTCTTTCTTTTACTTTCTTATCCTCCTCTGCGAATTCCTCTGCTTCCTTGACCATATGTTCAATTTCTTCTCGACTCAAGCGACTTTTATCATTGGTAATTGTAATCTTCTCTGATTTTCCAGGGGCTTTGTCTTCATCTTTGACGGTCAGAATACCGTTTGCATCAACTGCAAATGTCACCTCAATCTGAGGAGTTCCTCTGTTGAAATATGAAAGAATTTAGTAAAGAAGCCAATATTATTTTAGTCAACCAGGCAAAAGGAAACTCATCAAACACTCTCAAGCAGGTGGAGAAGACAAGTACCTTAGAGCTGGAGCTACTCCAGTTAAATCAAATTTTCCTAGCTGTCTGCATTCCTTTGTGAGACTACGTTCACCTTCAAACACCTGAAGAAGAATATTCGAATATTCATGTTAGAAGAGTCACAAGTCCAGACATGTTCCTTCTCTTGAGACTTCAAGCTCTCTAAGAAGATAGTTTCGAGGAAATACCTGAATGGTCACTGTTGTCTGTTGATCCTGATAAGTGGTGAAGACTTGAGACTTTTTAGTAGGAATGACAGTGTTTCTTGGGATCAACTTAGTCATCACTCCGCCAACAGTTTCAATACCAAGAGTGAGTGGAGTCACATCCAGAAGAAGAATATCTTGTTAAATTCCAAAGTTAATTGTCAAATATATGGTTTTTAAAAGAATCAAATCTCCATCAAATGGATAAAAGACAGACAAAAGAAGAAATACTTTTAGTTTCATCACCACACTAGCCACTCAAAATCCCCCCTTGTACATCTGCACCATAAGCAACTACTTCGTTAGGGTTGACTCCCTTGCTGGGTTCTTTGCCATCAAAATAATCCTTCAAAAGATGTTGAACTTTAGGAATCCTGGTACTTCCACCAACAAGAACAATTTCATCAATCTGGCTCTTCCCTAGCCCAGCGTCTTCCATAGCCTTCTTAATAGGCCCCATAGTCTTTCTAAATAAATCATTGTTTATCTCCTCAAAACGTGCCCAAGTAAGTGGTTCAGAGAAATCCACACCATCAAATAGAGATTCAATCTCTACCCTAACTTGGTGCTGACTGCTCAAAGATCTCTTGGCACGCTCAGCTTCTCTCCTAAGCTTACCCAAAGCTCTGTTGTCCTTGCTGATGTCCTTCCCGTGCTTCTTCTTAATCAATTTAATAAAGTACTCCATAATCCTAAGGTCAAAATCCTCTCCTGCAATGAAGAAACTATCAATGTGTAGTGTGACTTGTGAACAGGGCTTATTTGAAACTAATAGTTTTTACAACTAGCATTTATTTTCATCAAGCTAAATCAGATATCAAATTTGAACTGATGTAAATTTTTAGTATTATATCAATATATGGGAAAACTAACAAAAATAAATACAGCAATTGATGCAGTTAACAAAGTGGTGCTAACCTCCTAGGTGAGTGCCTTCATTTGTTGCAAGAACTTCAAAAACACCATTATCGATGGTGGGTATGCTAACATCAAATGTTCCACCACCAAGGTCAAAGACAATGATGTTCTTTTCACCACCTTTCTTATCTAATCCATAGGCAATTGCTGCTGCAGTTGGTTCGTTAATGATTTTTGCCATATTTAGTCCAGCGATTACACCTGCATCCTTAGTGGCCTGCCTCTGGGCATCATTAAAGTAAGTTGCAGGGGAGAACACATAAAAAGATCAGCAATCAATCATATGATACAATTATTGGAACTTTACATACAAGGAACAGTGACAACTACATCATTGATTTTCTTTCCAAGGTAAGCTTCAGTTGTTTCCTTCATCTTGGTCAAAATCATGGCACTGATCTCCTCAGGACTGAAGACCTTGTTCTCCCCGTCTTTAATCCTAACTTGGATATATGGTTTACCATCCTTGTTAACAATCTTGTACGGAACAAGTTTCATGTCCCTTTGAACTTCTTTGTCTTCAAACCTATCAAATAGATAGTTTTGAGTCATTGCTATTATATCACCCTCTTCAAAACAAAATTTAAGTTTGCACCCACTCACCCCCTTCGTGTTTGCCAGAGAGGATAGAATTATTTCATCTAAATGAGATTTTACGATATATCAGAAAAGAAGGCAAATGAGACAGATTTGTCAAACTTCACGCTCTGTTGCAACAAATGTATATAAGGATGCCGTTTCAAATTAAGCAATCAATCACTACTATATCATCATCAACGTTTTTCTGTCTAAGTCATTCAAACCACTACCCTCCAAACAATTAGACAGGTATCAGATTAGGAAATATCATACCAAAAACTAACTATATTCTACTCTATACATCTAAAACTAAAAGGCATTAATATTCTAACCAAACTGTTAGCTACTTCTGCAACTAGCAATTTTCAATTGAACAATGTGCATGCATATATCGAAATTGACTAATCAACCTCATGCCGAACACAAGAATTCCTACAATCTATACACATCACAAAGTTAACAAATGTGAATCTTCTAACCTAATTTTCATTGTAAAAGATTGAAATTGAAGATGAGCATGCAAACAAGGAGTAAAAAGCTTACCGAACAAGACTATCAAGGATGCGTTTTGCTTCCACGCACCACCAACCATTGCTCGCCGATCTATAACTGGTTTCAACTTATCAATTTTCTTCAAATACTAGCTAGCAATTCTCATCTTACTTCTCTCTTTGCAGACACAATTATGGACTCTTCAAATATCATACAACAATATATATAAGGGTGGGGTTCGTTGAGGCGTCATATTTGATGATGTGGATCAATCATTATGAAGGTAAGAATCCATGAAAAAGATGTCACTTTTATTTTAGGACTCTGACACTGTAATTAAATAATCGAGCATGTCATAAGTGATGACGTGGACCAATTAGCTTCAAATATGTATTGAAAATATATCAACTGTTGCTTTTA